CCAGATTTCTTATCGTACTCGGGTCAACTAATCTAGATTTTGCTGCTAGTTTTTTATGCTTGGCGAGTCTGACTGCACCTGTTCTACCACTTTGACCTGTATATTTGACCTGACAATCATTGCAGGCAGGGTATAAGATAAACTAAATTGTTTTGTCTTAAAGGCTCCACAGGGTCCTCTAACCGACAAAGCTTGTTTCTAATTGAGTTTGTGGTTGGTTTGAATGCCAGCCATTTTTATTCCTGCCTTGTTAAGAATTCTGCGTAAGGTTTCTGAGGTTCCTTCCTTGTATGGAATTACTACTGATGATTTAGATTCCTTATTGTTGGTGTCGTCATTAATATTATTATTATTATCACTATTATTATTATCATTATTATTGTTATTATCACTATAGCTACTATCATTATTTATTTTATTTTTACATTTCCTTACATATTTCCTGACTAATTTATCCGGGTAATTATTAAGTTTCAAGGCTTCTTTTATGTGTATCAGTTCCTGTTTTAGATTTTCTTTGGTACTACTTAGTTTTTGTGCTCTATTACTACAACATTTCACCAATCCTATTTTCACTGACATAGGATGGGATGATCGGAAGTCTAAATATCTGTTTGAATGTGTGGGTTTCCTGTAAACACACTAGTGTGTTTAACTTCCCATCTTCTTTCCTTTTTACGTTGCAATCTAACATTGGGAGCTCCCTGAGTTCCTGACTTTCCAATTCATAAGTGAATTGAATTGCCTCCACCTCTGAGTTAATGTGTTCGAAAAACCTATCTGTATCTTGTGTTCTAAGTACAGTGAATGTGTCATCTACATACCTCCACCTCCCAGAAGCTTTGTTTATTGAATCAACTGAATGAAAATACGTGTAATAGGAATGATTCAACACCCGTCCCCGATATCTGGAAAATTCTACTACCCCAACTACGACAAATAGGAGAAAACAAAGAAAACTATAAAACTCAAGTTTCAAAGTCGTGTGATTACAATTGATATGATTATGAACAATAATAAATTTTGTTCGAAAACTTGTCATCGAGTATGTAATAATACTGTTTTACAGACTGTGTGATATATCTAATAAACAAACAAATATGGAACTCCTTAAATAGTTATTTTAAGGTTTTAGGCAAAATCAGGCGAAACTAACTGTATATAACACATTTTACAATGATTATAATCACACATATTTTAATTGCATTTTATGCTGTTATTATTTCATGTATTCACACACCTTTGACTCAATTTCCTCACTATATATATATATTGTTTAAACCATATATATTTATACAGTTGTACAGCTTCATAATAAATTCATTGTTAAAAAGAGTCTCTTCACTGAATATTGTCTTCTTGAAGTATGTCACTATGTCATATTTCTGTGCGTCAGTGGCATAGAGGTTAGGACGCCCGCCGACCATGCACATGGTCCTGGGTTCAATCCCCGGCCGACGCACTCCTTTACCTCGCTAAGCCAAAACTAAAAGCTGGTGAAGAGGAAAAGCTGGGCATGAGGTTGGCAACCCCATCCTGTAAAAATAAACACTGCTACAGAAACTTCAAGCTTCTAGCTTGAAGCCCTATGTTCCACTGGGGAACGTGAAGGAATAAAAAAATGTCATATTTCAAATACAGTAAGATGACTGAATTGTTGTCAATTTTTGTTGTCTTCTCTTCTTTTACCTAGAAATTATCATTCTCCCTTCACACTTCAACCTCAGACGCTCGATTAGTCGCTTTCCATTAGGATTCTACTAGACAGACTGGTGTGTGTGTGTGATGTCACTCGAAAAACTACCGCTACCCACCTTCTTATTTTGCATTCAATCCTCCTCCCGTATTACATCATTATCAGTGGTCAGCCATAAGGCTATCTCAGGCTTACGATTGGAACAAAGACAGGTCTATGCTGATCTTTTTGTATTAAGGAATATTCTTTCCTATAGCCGTCTAGTGAACGACACATTTTCTTGCAGTTGTTTCCAAGAGTTAATGAATCTATGACAGAACCAGAAATTCATGGTTACATACATTGTCCTTGAATTTCAAACTTTACTTTTATCTCCTTCTAGTTGTTTCAACTTAGTCGGAAGGACAAGCGAAAATAAATGAGGACCATAGTCATTTCTTCTTAAGAAGTAGTTTGAAAACGGTTGCAACACTACGGCTTGCAGTGCCTCATTCAACAGCTGGGTATATGACTACGCTGCGTGTCAGGTGACCCACAACGGAAAACTAAGAGAGGCATTTGAAGTGAAAAAAGGAGTAAGACAAAGCTGCCTACCTACTATCACCGATGATATTCTTAATTGTATTGGACTGGATTATAAGGCACACCATACGTGGGGAGTGAGAAGACAGGAATGAGCTAGACCGATAAGAAGATTCTAGAAGATCTGGATTTCGCGTGTGGATGTCATACAAAGTCAAAGACTTACAGGCAAAAACAAACAAAATATCTGAAGAAGCAGAGAAGACTGGACTCCAGGTTAAAGTAGAGAAGATGGAGGCGATGAAGATAACCAACAAACCAACCAACAGCAATAACAAGCACCAATCACAATCAATGGGAGAAACTTGAAACAGGTGGCTCCCTTCACTTATCTAGGAAGCATTGTTTCAGCCAGAGAAGGAATGGATGAAGATTTCAAAAGCAGCCAGAGTAGGAAAGGCAAGATACGCCTCCGTCAACCTGAAACCAGTTTGGAAATCTTCTGCACTCCGCCTCAGCATAAAGAACGAGAACACAAATGTGAAGTCAGTTACTTTTTCTGAATGGATCAGAAACTTGGCAGGCTCATCAAGGGAAGCATTCCCAACAGTCTACGACAGACTTTTAACAACAGCTGACATCTTCACCGGCTGGCTGGCTAGCTCCATACTGAAGATCAAATGGCCAGTCAGAAAGAATTAGAAAGAAGATATTCTGCAATGGAGCAAACCAACCAAGAGTCGATTGCTGAAAACATTTGTAGGAGAAAATGTAGATGGATTAGGCATACGCCACTGAAGAGGCCGTCGACTGACATCGTGCGCAATGTAGGCCATCGCTCGAGTGGAATCACAGTGGGAAGCGATGAGTGGGTCGCCAGTGTAAGGGTGACATGGAGGAGATCGTATGAGTCGGAGGAGGAGATGAGAGATCATGCGTAATCGTGGGCCCAGCTAAAGAGAACAACAGAAAATAAAAGAAAGTGGAGATGTGTTGTTGGATCTCCATGTTCCACTGGGAGCCCAATGGAATAATAATAATACTAGTCATTTCTTCTGAATTTGAATATTGTTTGCTCACTAAAGATTGTTATAAACTGTAATTTAAAAAAAATAAATATTTTGTTGATCACTTTTTTGTTTTCCTTAGCACCTGTCGGTGGTTTCGGATCAGCAGATACAACCTTAGAACGTGGTGGAAATCGTGGACTTTTATTATCTAGCGAGTAAGTTACAATGAAACTTATAACTTCCATTTTTCTGTCTTGTGAGTGTAAGCGCAACTTCGCTTGAAATTAAGTCACGCGTAGATAGAGGCTATCCCGGTCCAGAACAAACAAGAAGCCGGTCACTGTTTCTACGGTACTATTAATAAACAAATCAATAATCATATATATAACAGCAAACCTTAACGGTTTCAAGAGTACAAAGCACAACGCTTAACAGAAAGCAAGGTACCGCTATCAGAGCGGAATAACGTTAAAGCCAAAATTGCAAACTAGCCGGAATCAGACACGACCGTTCAGGTAAGCAGTCAGTAGAAGAATGAACCCAAGTAAGGCAGGGCATGGAACAGAGAGCGGTTAAGAGATAGACAGAGCATAGGTACAAAGATAGAATTTATTTGGCTACTTAACCAGGTAGGCTGATACAGATGAAGATCAATAAATAAGATAAACTCGACAGAATAGTACAAAGTAAGACATGGGTCAGCAAAAATAACAGTTCACAAAATACTCTGATTGGGTCATGAGTTCAACGGTCTGACTAAACGGATCGATGTAAAAACACACACACAGTTCATCATTAAACAAGGGGGGATAGACACGTTAGGCATGGATAATTGGGTTGCAACAACGCTAGGCTGATCCGGGACAGGTTGACTTGATTCAAGGATGGGAATTGAATTGATCTTACATTGAGGATGTCATGAGCGTTTACGTTCAGACAAACAGAGACAGGCAGACAGAACCATGATAAGAGTAGAAGTAAATAGAATTACACAGAAATAAAAAGGATTTACATGACATGACTAACAGGATGAGCATGGGATATTTTAACCTTTATAATTTGATTATATAAGTTTTATCGATCTCCTGAAACTACTACTCAGGGGATCAACTATTCATTGTTTTGCGGAAATAGACAAAATCTTCTTAACTAGTTCAGGTTCAGTTTACAGAATAATGAAAACTGACTAAGAAGTCTCTGTTAATTGTCACCATTCAGGATGTTTTCTGAAACGATTAGCTTTAAAGGGACCAGTTATTATTATTATTGTCTCCTTTAGTTCCTAGAGGAACACAGGGCTTCAGCTACACGTATACATTGCTTTCGCTTCTCTGCCAACGTCTTCATCTGGCTACACGTCTGCCCACATGCTTTCATCTCCTCTTCACATCACCTCCTCCTCCATGTCACCCCAACCTTACACTGACGACCAACTCGCCACTTCCCATTCGCCTTCCACTCGAGTGATGGCCTGCACTGTGGGTGATGTCACTCACTTGATGGTTTGTTTTCTCAGAGTGTGACCAATCCATCTCCATTTCTTCCTGCTTATCTCTTGCACAATCAGTTCCTACTGGGTTGGTTCGCTCCCAGATATCCCTCACTACTGCTGATTGTTTGTGGCCAACCATCTGGTCTTGAGTAGTATTGAGGGAAGACAGCTACTGATGAAGATGTGTAGTTTGTTTGAGATACTCTTTATGACGCGCAGTGCAAGTCTCTGATCCGTATAGTAATTAACACTGACTTCACACTGCAGTTGAAAATTCGGATCTTATTTTTCCCGCTGAGTGCTGCTGATCTATCTCCACACAGACGTGGAGTAGTGAAAGTTTGCCTTGCTTTCCTGATCCTCGTTTTGATGATATCCTCGTCAGTTTCGTCCGCGTCTAGTTGAAACAATGCTTCCCAGGTAGGTAGGTGAAGGAGGTTGCTTCTTTCAGATTTCTCCCATTTATGCTGGCTGGTTGTCTTTTGTTTTCGTCGCTGTTGCTGTTGATGAGGAATCTTCATCATCACCTCTGTTTTCTCTATGTTCACCTGAAGTAAGTCCTATCTTTGATGCTTTTTATGCCAATTTGTTGCTCTTCACTTGCATATCTTCCATTTTATGGGAAATCAGGCATATATCATATCTAAAAGAACCAGTTAGATAGGTTAAATTAGCATCCAAATCAGTTATATATAATTAGTCTTCTGTCATTCTTTTTATATGATGTCAACAAAAGGTCTAAATAACTAAGTAGACATTTTCAGAAAAGTCTTAAAAGCCTTTTAACCATTTCATTACTTATTAAAGCAGGCAAAAAATGTGAAAAAGCAGTTATTATTATTATTACTGCTCCCTTGGGTTTCTAGTGGAACATAGGGCTTCAACTACACGTCTCCACTTGCTTCTGTCTTCTGATGTACTTTTCACTTGCATCCATGTTATTCCACACTGTTTCAACTCCTCTTCACATGATCTCCTCCATGTCACTCTAAACGTCCCACTCGCCACTTCCCTTTCGGCTTCCACTCGAGCATTGGCCTGACGCGCCATGTCACCCAACGGCCTCCTCAGCGAGTGTTCAATCCATCTCCACTTTCTCCTGCATATTTGTTCAGCGATTGGTTCTTGTTTTGTTTGTTCTCATAGTTTCTTGTTAGTGATTCTTTCCGGCCATCTAATCTTCAATGAAGATCACTAAGCCAAAAAAGGGAGATAATATTTTATATTCCCTGGCTGGTATCAAAACGAAGTTTAGCAAGAAAGGTGGTTTAGTGTGACGACGAATTGTTGCTTCGAACGCACAAAGGTGGTCTAAACTTTCTAATTTTCAGCTAGGGCTTCCATAACCTTTGGGATACGCCCCAAATACGTTTTTACAGATAGGTTTAAAAGATGTGTTAACGTCAATTTTATGTCCTGTCTCTGTAATATATTTCTCAATAGAGGAGCTAGGTCATCGTCTGTTCTCACCACTAATGGGTTCTGAAGATTCTATTTGTTTCTGGAGCCATTTAAGAATATGCTCTGAAGCCAGCTCTTACTGGCAGAGATCGATGAGTCCTCCCTATGTATGTGTGTCCATACGTAGATTCAAATGGGTAAATACAGTGGGATGTGACATCATTTTTGGCATGTTCAAAGGGCTTAGATGGATGGATATATTGGCTTCACATTCGCAGTTATTGTGATATTAACTTCATAAAAAGTCTTTTCAACAGCGGCGTTCAATTTTTGTCTAGTTATCAAGCTCCTATGATGTCCCATATATGGTAGCTTGATGTACACGTCTTTCTTAGGGGCGAGTTGGAGAGTGGGTTTTGGTGTACTTTATATCTCCTGATGAACTTGTCTGGATAATTGTTATCAACCAGAGTTTGTGCCAACTCTCTTTCTTCTTCATCAAGTTTGTCTTCAATACATATTCGTTGGATTCTACTGAAGAGACACCTCACTCACTAAGGCTCTTTTGTACCGAATACAGCAGAATCTGTGATAATTAAGATACTGTTCTGTCCAGGTAGGTTTTCTATAAATAGATCGTTTTATTGACCCATAAAGCCGTCGACTTAGCAATATGTCTAGGAAAGATAAAAATTTATCTTCCTCTTCTACAGCCAGATGTCAGTGATATGCTGTTCTGAACTTCATTCATTCGATTTAAAATTGAGGTGGCAGAACAAGACTTATCACTGATGATTACAATATCGTCTATATAACTTCTATAAAGTGACACATTTTCGATTAAATCCTCCGATAAACTCTCAATGTACGACATATAAATATCTGATAAGAGGGGCTCTAACGGACTTCCCATAGCAACACCATCAACTTGGCGGAAACAATCACCTTTAAATATAAATCACGAAAAATACCCATTTATTCTTAAGTAAAAACACAGTTTTTGTTCAGCGAAGAAATTTCTTTTCAACGACTTCATTTTCAAGCTGTACAGTCGTATTTACATGAACAGAAACCTAAATTATGTGTTCAAAAACGTTTTGTCAAACCCCTTTCTTTACCTTGGTCATAGTAATGTTCTTTCTAGTTTTTACTTTATTATATTTTACCAATTGAATTCTTTCCACTTCACTTCACATCTTCATTCTTATCGTAATCGTACTCTTATATTTTTTAAAATTTTTAGACAACACTTGACATTTTTAAAACATTTTTGATATCAATTCACTTATAAAACAATCTTTAATAATTTTGTAATTTATCCACTTCAACTCTACCCCTTATAACATTTTAATTATCGTTATTATTATCACATATTTGTATATTGACTGAGCAATTATTTAGTGCCACTTAATGACCTTTTCTGTAATATAAATACGACTGTACAGCTTGAAAATGAAGTCGTTGAAAAGAAATTTTTTCGCTGAACAAAAACTGTGTTTTTAAATATAAACCTAACATTTCTACTACATAGAAGTAATAAATCCCTTAAATAAGATATAGGGAACGGGATGAAAAAATTGTTTGTGGAAATGTAATCACACACAAAATGTCCTGAGTGTCATACAGGGAATAGTGGTTCCAAGAGTTCTGCCAACCATTTTGCAGCATAATGATACAGTGAACCTGCCATGTCTAAAGTGGGACGCATCAGTAATCCAGATTTATGTATTTTCGGTAGGCCAGAGAGTCGAGGAATGATCAATCCAGAAGGTTTCAACCTTTTACATAGCTCACTTGTCAATCACCAATCATTCTTTATTCATTCTATTTTTGTTTTATTTTATTTCAAGTATTGGTTTTGTAGGAATTTTCTTTTGGATTGGCTGGAGGGTTTCATCATGAGCTGACATCAGTCAGAGGACCACTGGAAAGCCTGGGAGTACTGTACAGCTGTTTTACCAGCCTAGTGTGGGACTCTTCATCAGTACTCACCCACCGCCAAAGTTCGAACCCAGGACCCTCGGGTTACAAGGCAAGCTCATAGACTATTCATGAGCCACTGGGACCCGATCCAGTGACTCATGAATTCTAACTTCTGCCGTGACCAGTAGGTTACAGCAGGTTGGAGATGAGGCACTAACTCATCGAAGAAGACATTGTTAAGTGGTCGCGCTATGTCGTGAATTGGCAGAAGCTGCAATTCAAGGACCGTTGGATTGGGTCCCAGTGGCTGAATGGCATGCAAGTTCGCCTTGTAGCTAGAAGGCACTGGGTTTGAACCTTGGTGGTAGGTGAATGCTGCTGAGGAGCGCCAAACTAGGCTGGTGAAACATCTGTGCAGTACTCCGTGCAGGTTTTCTAATGGTTCTCTAACTTATTTTATTTCACTTCATCACATCATATGCTAACATTTTATCTAGTCTACTACTACTATTAATTGCAAGTCTACTACTTTGACAACATTTCGCTCAGCCTATGTCGTCTCCACCATATTACATTCACATATTCACATTTCCGAATTTACTTTATTTTCCAACGATCATCTATTTCACGCATTTCGTCTATTGAACTTTAGGTTGACCTCTATTTATTCAGTTATTCTTCCAAATATCTAATGAACTGTGACTCATAATCCTATACACCGATATTATTATGATTATAGCACTTCAGTATTTTCACTCACTGTCAAACTTTAACACACACACATATGCAAGAAAACTGATTGTTACTGTCCACTGTAATTCATGTTTATGCGTTTGTGCAACTGTGAAAATGAAGTCGTGGAAAGGAGAAATTTCTTCGTTGAATTCTTTGATTTTATGTAACAATGGGGATTGTTAATTCAGTTACGTATATATATTGAATTTTTTCCATTCTCTACAATATTAGCGCTGATCACAAAGGACCAACTTTGGTTGGTAGTCGACAAAGACAATCGGAATCACCTCCACAACATAACAAAAATTGGAAAGGTAAGTTTCATTAAAAAATTAGGCGTATACATTCCAATTAAGAAAGTTAAAACACTTAGTAATCCTTATTTGATTATATTATTATTATTGTTCCCTTGGGTTCCTATTGGGACATAGGGCTTCAACTACACGTCTCCACTTGCTTCTGTCTTCTGCTGTACTTCTCACCTGCATCCATGTTAGTCCATACTGTTTCAACTCTTCTTCACATGATCTCCTCCATGTCACCCTTAGACGTCCCACTCACCGTTTCCGTTTCAGGTTCCACTCGAGCTGTGGCCTGACGCGCGATGTCGCCCAACGGCCTCCTCAGCGAGTGTTCAATCCATCTCCACTTTCTCCTGCATATTTGTTCAGCGATTGGTTCTTGTTTTGTTTGTTCTCATAGTTTCTTGTTAGTGATTCTTTCCGGCCATCTGATCTTGAGTATAGAGCCAGCGAAGACAGTTTTTGATAAAGGTCTGCAACCTATATTTGATTATATTACCAAAAAATAATGTTAATAGTGCTCCTTTATATTCTTAAATGTTGTGTCATTTTACCTATTTTGATTGGTTTATTCTAAGAGGTTTTGTATTTCCTAGTCAATGAGTGAAAAGGACAAAACGATATAGTTGCTGCTGCTAATAGCTTTATCAAAGTTGTAATATTAAACCAGAAGAATTTACAACATCCACTCAGCTTACATATAACAACTTAATCATCGTTTTGCTCCGTATGGGGTCATTTCTGCGTTGTCAAGTTGGCTAATCGGTAAAGATAACAAAACCAGGTGTAGATTGTTGAATAAAATTGCTTATAACATTCGTGTTGATTTTGTCATTTCATGGGGGAGGGAGCGTTGAAACCTGGTCAAATTATGTTTACTGCATCATTCCTATTCAGACAATTTGGATTCCATTTGATCATATGAAGTGCTTCTGATGATATTAGACGTTCTTTGTGATTTCTGAACTGCTTTTTCTGGATGATGATTTCAATATTGTCTATGGCGTAGCGTGTAGACCAAATATAGTCTAGTTCAACTGGATTTACTTCTCGGTGGTCAAACATATGCTCTACAGCGTTCATTTCTTCGGGTTTTGATTCCTCTCTGCTGATGTTTGTCCACTGTATATCGTATTTCATCTCAATCATTTTATTTTATAGATACAATAAAATAGAGAATCGTTAGGGTTTTGGTCTTTTATATTAACAAAGTTGCTTTGTAGTGTATGCGTGTCTGATGTTTTGAAGAAAACCCTGATGCTATGCTATTGTCTGACATTTCTGATGTATGTGGAATGACGACTGTTGAGGTCCATGTCTTCGGAATGCGTTTTCGACCATATTTAATGTCAATGTTGATTTTGTTGATGAAGTTCTTTGGATAGTTATTTCGCTTGACACCCCAGTAATGTTTGATATTTCTTCTTTTTCCTTCTAATTCGTTAACATGAAAGAGTGTGCTCGTCTAAGAAGACTTGAAACAACTGATACTTTTGCGTTGATGGTGTGTGATGATCCGAAGTCTAAATATATTTGTTGTTGAAGTGGGTTTTCTTCCTGAATATAGACATACTAAAATGTCCATTTTTCCCTCCTTTTAACTAGGCAGTCTAGAAATGGTAGTTCACCGATGTTTGATTCTGCTTCCGAAGTAAATTGAATGCTGGGGGAGATGGACTGTTCAGTTTCACCGAGAGTGAACTGTGTAGATCTCGTTTTAGCACTTCAAAAGTATCATCTCCTTATCTAAACCATATTTTTGGAATGAGTGTGCTTGAAAAGATGTTTTGTTTTCTAATCTATTCATAAAAAGGTCAGCGACACCATTTTTGTCTGTCTATATAAATTCCCTTTGAATGTAAAATAATTACTTTCTAGACAGAATTTCAAGCTCTTAATCATAATGTTTTAATTGACCTTTAGTTTTTCATATAAACTGATTTAACTAGTAGATGTATGACCAGATGGTGCTAAATGCTACGCGGAAATGCGTAACCAGGTTTCCACAAAACTATGTCTTCTAAAAGCTCTATCCAAGGCTATTATTATTAGTATTACAAGGAAAGCAGAAGAAGCTGCAGACAAAGGAGACCTCACAACATTCTACCAAACAACTAGGTGCCTATCGGGCAATATTTTGACAAAAATCAAGCCGGTGAAAGATGACAACGGAAAGTCACTCACCAAAGAAGTGGAGCAAAGGAAACACTGGGCTGAACACTTCAAAAGACTCCTAAATCGACCACCACCGACAACGCGCCCAACAATACCAACAACGGAGACAGAGCTACCAGTGAACACCAACCCTTCGACGAAATCAGAAGTCCTGAAGGCAATCAAGATGCTAAAAGCTGGAAAAGCAGCAGGACCAGATGGAATCCCAGCAGAAGCATTGAAAACGGACCCAGATACAACAGGCGACTTGATGACGCCACTACTGGAGAAGGTGTGGAAAGGAGGCAAAGTACTCGAGGATTGGAAGAAAGGTTACTTGTTCAAACTACCAGAGAAAGGAGACCTAAGTCAATGCAAGAACTGGCGCGGAATTATGCTCCTGTCCATCCCAAGCAAAATACTAAGCCGCATCATCCTGGAAAGAGAATCAAACAAGCCATTCTGGATGAAAAACTTCGACCGGAACAGGCTGGATTCAGGAGGAACAAGTCATGCATTGATCAGATCGCCACATTACGGATCATCATTGAACAAAGCCTGGAATGGCAGTCACCTCTCTATCTCAACTTCATCAACTATGAAAAGGCCTTCGACAGCGTCGATCGAGAGGTGCTTTGGAAACTACTTCGCTAATACGGGGTGTCACCGACAATAATACATCTCATCCAACAGCTATACGACAATGCTGCATGCCAAGTAATCCACAACAGGAAGCTGACGGAAACCCTCGAAGTGAGGACAGGAGTAAGACAAGCTGGCTGCCTACTATCGACAATGATTTTCCTGATTGCAGTAGACTGGATAATGCGACAAACAGCGGGTAATGAGGAAACAGGCATAAAATGGACACACACACAAAACTTGGAGGATCTGGACTTCACCGATGACATATGTCTGATTTCCCACAAACTGGAAGATATGCAAGCGAAAAGCAACAAGCTGGCAGAAGAAGAATCAAAGATAGGTCTTCACGTGAACATAGAGAAGACAGCGGTGATGAAGATTTTTAGGCAAAACCACCAACAGCAACAACAACAATAGACAACAATCAGCATAAATGGAAGGGACCTGAAAGAAACAACCTCCTTTACCTACCTGGGAAGCATCATTTCAACTACAGGCAGACGGGACTGACGAGGATATCAAAGCGAGAATCGGAAAAGCAACACAAGCTTTCACTACTCTCAAGTCTGTGTGGAGGTCAACAGCACTCAGCATAAAAAATAACATCCGGATTTTCAACTCCAATGTGAAGTCAGTGCTACTCACTATACGGATCAGAGACTTGCACTGCGCGTCATAAAGAGCATCTCAAACAAACTACAGACCTTCATTAACAGTTGTCTTCGCTCAATACCACTCAAGATCAGATGGCTGGCCAGAAGAGATCAGCAACAGAGATCTCTGGTAATGAGCGAACCAACACAGCAGGAACCGATTGTGAAACAAATAGGCAGGAAGAAATGGAAATGGATTGGCTGGCCATATTCTGAGGAAACCATCAAGTGACATCACTAGACAAGACATTGCTCGAGTGGAACCCGAAAGGGAAGCAGCGAGTTGGTCGTCAGTGCGACGGTGGGGTGACTTGGAGGAGGTGATGTGAAGAGGAGATGAAAGAGTGTGGTCAGACTTGGAGGCAGGTGAAGACTCTAGCGGAGAACCGAACGCAATGGAGACGCACAGGTGAAGCCTTATGTTCCTCTAGAAATTAAAGGAAATAATAATTATTATTGCTAAAAAGTTGAATGAATGAAGTTTTATTTTCACATGTTCGTTCTGGTGACAAAAACATGGAATGTTCTAATGACCAGTTACTGTGTTCCGGCTGTTACTCAACAAAAATCAATATTAGATTTTCATGCAGCCGGCGGTGAACATACCCACTGTGTGTGTGTGTGACAGAAGAGTGTATTTTCGTGCAACTAACACCTTACTCCCATGACTGGCGAAGGCCAAGGATAAAGTAGAAGAAGAAAACCAACAGAATTGTGTGTACCAGATCAGTTCTGCTGATTGTGATGCCGTATATGTATCAGAAGCCTCCAGAAAGGTAAATGTAAGAGTGAAGGAGCATAAACAATGTCTAAAGGCAGTTCCAAACACCTCTGCAGATTTGAAGAAGCTATAAAAACACATTGGTGATTGCACCACAATCAATAAAAAAAGAAACACAAGGTTGACTTTAATAGCACCAAGGATTTACAGAAAGGTTTTGGTTCATATGAAGAATGACTATCTGACTGCAGAAGCCCTAAATATATGGGCGAATCCCAACAGTTTGAACAGACGTGAAGGTGTGATGTGTGTTAGCTGATGCATGGCAAATCCTGATTAATAAATAAATAAATAAAAAATGGATATGTATCACTAATTAATCATACTTGATCTAAATTCCCGATTGTCTATATCTTCTTATGGAGAGGCTAACACTTTTTAAAGGGTTCAACAAAAGTAGACTAATTTTTGAAAGTTTGAGGTCAAATTTTGATCACAGATCATACAATTTTGTTTATTATATTGTGATGACTCTTTCAAAACTCATATGACTAGACAAAGCCCTTAAAAATGAAAGATGCCGTTTTAAGTATAAACCTCTGTTGTGTTAATTTCGATTAATTTCCTTGAAGCAGTGTGGACCAGTTTGCCAAACGAAAAGTTGGAATTACTAATTTCAACTTTGCTGATATTTTACAAATATAATTTTTACAAATGTATTGTGTGAATGTTAATGACACCACTTGGCTGTCTTAACCTCGGATAGTATTTTGAATCTGTGACCCAGTGGTAGGATGTCAAGTGAACCACAACTCTGCTCATTAATATGCACTGAGGAGCAATGTATCCAAAGCAACTGACTATTCAACGCTGTCAGCTGACAGGACGACTAAAGGTGATTACGAGTTATACTTAGCAAGAATGGGCAGAGTTAAATTTTAAGCAGCACTAACTACCAATCAGTGAACGACCTTCAAAGGACCAGTCGCGTGAAAAAGGGACTTTTGATTAAGAAAACCGTATATTTATGGAAAAAAAGCATAAAAACTGTTGCATAGGGTATCTTTCTTTAACATGTGGTGGGAACATCTCCCAGTATAGCATAGGCGAGTCAATAGAAAAGTTGCACTACATTCTGTACATATATTCATCCAAATGACTATAAATGACATCCTTTTGAGATCCATTTATAGCCCTTATCCTATTTTTCAATCTTTCCAAAAATCTTTCTATAGAATTCGTGTGTTCCCCTGTAGAATTGTTCACTCTGTGATGAAAATATCCAAGGGATGACAGCGAGTTATAACCTTTTATTCATCAGAATGCATAATGGATCCCTGTTTCACAATTCGAGTAACAACAGGTACTAAGGTAGCAGACTTTGTGTCTGGTATTCTCTCCATGAATCCTTTCCGTAGGTAGGTGTCATATAAACCGGTCACCCAAACATTGTTGGCTCGCTCACGACCACGGTTGTATTTTTTCTTCAGTAACACAGTTTCGTCCACGTGTACGACTATAACTTCTCCGCCTAACAACGATGTAATTCTTTCCATTTTCTATGAGGCGATGTCTCTCGTTCGTAAGCAACCCCAAATCCAGGAAATACTGCAAAACCTTATCCTCATCTAACTGCAAGCATAACTTCGTTTGAAACGAATCAAGTGCTATACAACCTTGAACTCACGTGCATGAACCTCATTGGAACACTCGAAGTCATTCGCTGATTGGTAGTTAGTGGTGCTTAAAGTTTAACTTGGCTCAAGAATTTAATGAAAAATGAAACTGACGAGCTTCAGATATGTGAGAAAGTGTGTAGCCTACTATATACTTGTCATTGTTTGGTCAACCTGAAGAAATTAATGGTTAAACGAAACTGTGGTATTCTATTTTGATTCTTTTCAAGTTCTCCAAATGTCGTTATTCTTTAAGTAAATTTTAGACAGAATGGCAGTTTGTGCATCCAGCTAGACCTGACTCAACTCACAAACAGTACTAAGATGTTGAATTTCCAACAGCTAATGAGAATCAATTGTTTAATTATACCACTGTTCTCTTGTGTTCTTACGGTAACATGGGTCTTCGATGGTATATTGCTGTTTCACTCTGTGGTTTAGTTAGCTCCATAAGTGTCGTCTTATAATCTCCTCCATGTTGCAACTGTACTCATATTCAATTCTTTACCTCCCGTTTGCACTTCACTCAAGGACCTGGGTATTTTCGTTTCCTCTGTCTTCTCCACGTTCACCTGAGTTCCTTTCTGTTACCTTGTCGGTTTTCGTCTGCAGAACGCAGCATTACACATTAGATTAGCCGCTAATTCCAGACATGGAGTCATTATGTTTATCTAACGTGTGACCGTTTTCTCTCTCTCTCTCTCCGTCTCCATGGTCGGTTGCATGAATTATTCCACCATAGTCACGAATATCATCCGTAATAGTAGGCAGTCATGTCTTACTTCAGTCTTCACTTCAACAATTGTAGTGCACATTTGCTAAATTTTACCTACCAATGAAAAAATAAATTCTCTTTCAGACGTTGACGGATATGATGACGATGACCTACGTGATGGACCACAGACAACAGAAACACCAGGACAAACAAATATTAAGAAACAACAGCCTATTGGACCTGGGGTTAGAAAGAAAGCTTTCTCGAAAAAGGTAAGCACAATTGGTTCAATAATATTTTTCGAGTTTGACCACCGCTTGATATCAGTTAGAGAACCACTGAAAACCAGGGAATACTGGACAGCCAGCTGTTTCATCCTAGTTTGGGAATCATCGGCAGTACTCACTTGAAAAACAAATCTGATCCTTACAAACCAAACTGTTAAAAATTAATCTGATGCTCGCTAGTGAGTGACTTGCTGCAGGACGGAGTTTCCTGTAGTTCTAGTGAGAAGTCGTGACCACTGAGGTGTCTATCCAGTTGGGAGTGAGGATGGATTTCCCGCAGATGACATTGGTTGGTGGTCGCGCTCATCACTTCCCACTGGGATTCCACTCTAGCGATGGCCTGCATTGCGAGCGATGTCATTCGACGGCCTCCTCAGTGGTTTATGCCCAATTCATCTACATTATCTTCTGCATAATTTGTTGAGCGATCGACTCTTGGATAGTTTGTTCCACTGTGGAGTTTCTTGTTGCTAAATCTTTCTGGCCTGCCCACCGGCCGACTGGCCATTTGATCTTCATTATGGAGCCAGGCAGCGAAAGTGGCAGCTGTTGATAAAAGTTTGTTGTAGCCTGTTGGAAATGCTTCCGTTGATGCGCCTGCCAAGTTTCTTATCCACACAGAAGAAGTGACTAACCGACTCGACATCTGTGTTGAAAATCTGAATCTTGTTATTTATGCTGAGGCGGAGTGCAGAAGATTTCCAAACTGGTTTCAGATTGATGAACGCATATTTTGCCTTGTCTCTCTGCTTCTGGACACCTTTGACATGCTCGTCCATTCCGCCTATAGTTGAAACGATACTTTGTGGACAGATAAGTGAAGGAAGTAACCTCTGTTAAATCTCTCCCGTTGATGGTGGTTGGTCCTGGTTGTTGCTGTTGGTTAGTGGTGTGATTATCTTCACCACCTCCGTCTTCTCTATGTTCACCTGGAGTCCTGTCTTCGCTGCCTGCCTCATCAGCCAGTTTGTTGGTTTTCGCCTGTAGGTCTTCGACTTTCTGTGACAATGAATATGAGTCATCCACGCACGAAATCCAGATCTGTTAGAGTCTTCTTATCGGTGGCCCAACTTATTTTTTAAAAAAAAATAATAATTTGCTTTATTCCAAAACAGTACTTGTGATACAGAATGGAATTCTCAGCATTTTTACTACAGTATTGCATCCAGTTAGTACATTATCAATAAATGGAATTCTACATAGATTAAGGAAATCTCAGTTCATTATGACAACAACACATTGGCATGTTGGTAGCAAAGCCAAAGTTGAACAGTGTTTGAAGGTGTTAGAAAAGTAGGAGCTGTCATATTTACTGGCGTAAGCGGAAGAAAGAAACAAAGCAGCACATAACGGAAAAAAGGAAAAAATGAGAGAAAAGGAAAAGAAAGGAAGAAAATGTTGTACCTATCAATGATATGAGTTGAAAAGACGAGGTCCAGTTGTTCTACTGACTATTTAATAAGTTATAGGTATCACGCCTAATGCTTTCTTTATCACACAGAACACGAGCTAAGTAGGGTATGGTTGAGTTTTCGTACTTGCTGGTGCGAGCATATAGTTTTCTACATAGGCTTCTGTTTTTACCTGATGAGATGCAAGGGGAGAGTTGTGAGTGAAGAGGGTGGTGTGTGTTAGACAGAATGGATTTAGCCCACTTTTCCCATGAGTCCATGTGCCTGTCGACCAGAATATTAACAAGCTGGTTAAGTGGCACGTTGCTTACCCTGCTGACAACCTTTAACATCCTGCTTAATATGTTATAGTCTTTCTTCAGTAGCCCGGGAAAAACTAAGGGGGAGCAATAGAGAATAATAGGCAGAATGTGAGAGTTAACGAATTGTAGGAGTAAGGGTTGGGTTATACCAGAATGTCTTAACTTCTTGATGTAGAAGGTGAGACGGAATATTTTCTTAGAAATTGCTAAGATATGAGACGACCAGGGGAGATCAGCAGACAGAATGATGCCTAGGTATTTAATTTCCGACTTGGTTTCTATTTCAGTGCCATCTATGTTGCATACCTCGTGAGAGCCAACCAGTTTGTTTTTTCTTCTCACTACCTGTGCTCAGTCTGACTCATAATCGAGTCCACTACATTTAGGAATATCACCGGTGATGATAGGCACCTCTGTCTTACTCACTCACTTCAAACGTCTGGCTGAATTTTCCATTGTGGGTCATCTGACGTGTGGCACTGCCATATAACCAGCTGTTGAATGAGGTTGATAACGATTTGGACACTGCACACCGTAGTGTTGAAGCAGTTTCCGAATTACTTCTTGGTCAACGCTGTCTGTCCAAGGTCTTTATCAGCATACTTGATGCGATTAGCTTTAGACGAATATTGATAAATAGAAAGAAGGAGAAAGAGAGGGAAATGGGGAAAGTAAATACTGAATTAGAGCACTTTCCATTAAAGACAGTGTATTGTTTTCTTCTCAAAGAATAAGAAGACATCGAATTTGTCACCTGGAGCTTAGTGGATGCCAAAAATACATTGTCTAGCTAAAGTGACCTAAGAGGGGATTCAAAATCATCAGTATAGTCTTGGAAGGTAGATTTGATAACATCCCAAATGCTTCTACTGCCTTTATAAGGAGACTGCTTGCAGTCGCTGGAGGTTTTTAATTAAGGTAATAAGAATGAGTCAGAGTGATTTTTTTCTATAGTCTTGCATGGGTGACCTGCTGGGAATACCGGGTGTTACCGGCTTTTTTGTGCGTCGGTGGCACAGTGGTTAGCACTCTCGTCTGACCATGCACATTGTGCGGGATTCGATCCCCTGCCGACGGACACCTGATATCAATGGTCAGTCGGCAAAATTTGGGCTACCGATATCACATGCAGAAAATTTCACACCTGTACCAAAAATACGGTGTGGAATCAAGTTGTAATCAAACATAATAAAAAAAAATAAAATTAAAAAAAAACGCACAGGTAATGGCAGTAGAACTGAACTTCAAACTTGAAAGTGAGAGAAGCAGCATGATATCATATACCACTGACCGACTGAGATAAATAGTTGGAAACCATTCACGTCAAGCTCTTCTCAGACTTCTGCAACAACATCCAGCGCCAATCACTATCCACCAGAGGGATTTGAAAGAGGTCACTTCATTCACTTATCCAGGGAGCATTGTCTCAACTACAGGAGGAACCAACGAGGATGTCAAATCGAGAATCGGGAAGGCAAGAAACACATTCATCAACCTGAAACCAATCTGGAAATCTTCCGCTGTCACTCAGCCTGCATCAACAACAAAGTGATTCGGATTTTCAATACAAACGTCAAGTCAGTCAGTTCTTCTATACAATGGATCAGAAACTTGGCCAGTGGGTCACAAAGAATATTTCCAACAGCCTGTTGCAGACCTTTATCAACAACTGTCTTCGCTCTATACTGAAGATCAGATGGCCGGAAAGAATCACCAAAAAGAAACTATGGGAACAAACAAAACAAGAACCAATCGCCCAACAAATATGCAGGAGAAAGTGGAGATGGATTGGACACTCTCTGAGGTCGCCGTTGGGTGACATCGCGCGTCAGGCCAGTGCTCGAGTGGAACCCGAAAGGGAAGCGGCGAGTGGGACGTCCAATGGTGACGTGGAGTAGATCGTGTGAAGAGGAGTTTAAACAGTATGGAATAACCTGGATTCAGGTGAAAAGTACAGCAGAAGAGAGAAGCAAGTGGAGACGTGTAGTTGAAGCCCTATGTTCCACTAGGAGCCCAAGGGAATAATAATAATAATTCACGTCAAGCATTTGTAATTGCTAACCGGCTGAAACTGATCTGAACACTGGATGACTGTTTGGTTTCATTGATTTCTGAAAGACGCTGTACTGATTTCTTGTACTGAAGAGGCGAGCTCGTAGAACCGATCCAATGGCTAACACATGAATTCTAACTTCTGCCAATTCATGACATGGCGCGACCACTTCCCAATGTCTTCTTCGATGAGTAACTGTCCTCACCTTCAACCTGCTGCACCCTACTGGTCATGGATTCCCACTAGAACTCCAGGTAACTACTAACTGGCTGAATAGGGCCAGTCGCTAGGGAGCATCAGATTAATTTCCAAGTATTGGTTTTTTGTAGGGATTTTGTTTGATTGGTTGACTTTATGTATTACCAGTTTGCCTAAGTAACTAGCGAAAATTCAGGCGGTTCGAACTGCTTTGCATTTGAGAGCCTAGGCATATCAGATACACCAATGATGGGCCTGAAGCCGACCACGTGAAAGAATCACCGGGTGTTTCAGCCATTTCCATCCGTGGTTAGTTAACATCCCGGGATTTCCACAATTTTTATCAGTAATAGAGAAAATTTGTAGCTTAGTTGGATGATTTTGATTTAGTTGTCTTCTCTGAGCTGGTTAATTGAACTGTAAGGCTTTCGTTGTCCTCCTTCTAATAATAATAATAATAATAATTGCTTTATTCCAGAAACAGTACTAGTGGTACAGTGTGGAATTTTCAGCACATACCTGCAATGTTTGCATCTAATTTTATCAAACATTTAAAAGGATCATTTCAAAAAATAAATATAAAGACAAAAACAACAAAAAAACACAAAATAATTTTTTTAAAATGCGCAAAAATACCAAGAAGTAGGAAGGAAAATAAACAGCATAAAATAATATCTCAGTTTTGGGTAGTGGAAGCTATGATATGATTATGCATGGTGACAGTAAAGCTATAGCCAAACAAGAAGTTATGAAGTGATATTTAAGAATGTTTATCGCCACGAAGATCAGTTAATTTGGTTGAAACAACATTAAACAATCATAAAATAACATTTCAGGGTTGTTGTTTTGTTTTTTTATTGTCAGGTCTAATGAGGTGTTTGTAGTGGTAGTGTGAGTAATCCTGCATAATACAAAATTTTAAGATGGTGATAATGGCTTTCACAACCAAGATTATCAGTTAATATTGCCGAAAAAAATAAAAAATAAGAAAAAACAACCACAGAAACTAATAATTACATG